TGAACCTTTTGCTTTTTATTCATTTTGTAATTTTGTCTTTGCTCTTTTATTTTAGAAACAGAAACATTAAGGAAGAACTAAGCTTGCTTTTTTTCCCGTTAGCAGAATGTCAAGAGATCAGACTTATTTTGTTTCTCCTGTTATGTTCCTCTTTACAGCTTTAAAAAATAATCATTAAAACAAAAGATCGTAATGTTATTCATTAATTTTTTTGCCAGGTGAGTCAGTTGACGAGCTTGGATATTTATGTTGCTTCGGGTTGCGGTCATTTGTTCCCATTTGTGACTGCTTTCAGATGGGAAGTGGCAGAAATTTTAACTAGCAGTTTTTAAACGTCATTTAAAATTTTTATCCTGGTAAATATGACCAGTAATCTGTTTATCTTTACATTTATGCCTCTTACAATTCTGGACTTACTTTTTTAACTTGCATTGTCATATATATGTATGTAAAGAAAGTAAAGAGGAAAGTAATGCTAAATGGGAGGAACCAAATGGTAATTGTTAGTGGCTTCTGCAGTGGATGGTGTTCTAGGGCAGAAGTTATGCGCTTTTCCAATTTTTAATTATTCACGTAATGCATCATTACAATAAAAACGTTCAATCCTTATTCTTTTTTTTTTTTCGCGGTATAAGAAACGAAAGAAAACAGAAAAGTTTGAAGTTCTGATTTAAATGAGTAGTTTAATCAAATTAGAACAATTTTTTTAAAGAAAGTAGTTTTTGATGTTGTTGCCGCTGATGGGAAAATTGAAACAGTCGGGGCAGTAAAATAGTTTTTTCTTTTATCAGGCAAAGGTTGAATTAAAGACTTTATTTTAGATATTGTTTTGACCTATAATTTATTGCTGTAGAAGAATGAATTAAGATGAAATTTTAATATTAGCGTTTTGACAACAAAACAGGGTTTGAAGGGAAGTTGGTTGGTTTGCTTAGTGACAAAATTCATATTGTTCGATCAATGCAGAAGTGCAATTAGGATTTTATGCAGAAGGGGACGTGACAAAACATGGTATGCAAGAGAAGCATGATTGAATAGCGCTTATAAAATGGTTTTAACTATGAAGTTTGACTTTCTCAGTAGGAGTGAAATGAGTATCGCAAACTTTTGGTGCTAGATTGTTGTTGACAGTGTCATTATATTGAAACATTGACTGGTTTAGAACAATTGTGTCAGCAATAAAACTTTAAATATTTTTGTCGCACAGTTGTTTGAAATTTGGGAATTTTTAAATTTTTTAATCGTGTTTCTTGCTATGGGCTTCAATTTTTTTCCAGCTTTACAATACGTTTGTGGTAGTTTTCACCGGATAACAACTTTCATAGATGGTCAATTAGTTGTGAGGGGAGGAATAAACGGTAAAGGGGTTTTTTTGCAGCAAATTGTTGCTCCTGAGTAAGTTTTTTTTTCGTTAAGAAAATATTTTTTTTTGCTTGCCTAGCGATTTTTTTATTCTCCTTTCGTGCAGTTTAGGTAGTTCCTGTTCACAATCAGAAACTGAAGATACATGTAGCAAATTACCTTTTTTTCAGTCAATAATGGTAATGTTTTTGGTAGTGAGGTATTATGTACGACAATAGATGAGTAATTTTTTTGGCTACTTCTGATTTACTTTGTTCCAATTTATTTTGTCTTATTGTCTTTATTTTCGTCTTTTTTTTTGTTTAATCTATTTATTTATTTGTTTGTTTATCTACTTGTCTGTTTTACTGTTCATTAGTTAATCAGTTTTGACTGTATTTTTACTTTGTGGTGTAGTTCAAAGTTGCAACGTGGAATGTGTGCTTTCAAGTGAACATAGGTATAACTATCTGTTGTTTGCGTAGGTACTATTAGGAAATTATGCTCTCTGTATAATGTATCTGTAATAATTTGGCAGCCAGCTTTTTTTATAAGAGAAAACAAATTTTAAGAATATAAATCAGCAATAAAACAAGGTTAAGGCTTATTTTTGAGCATTTTGAAAGCTTTTTGTGCTTGTTTTTCCTAGGTCTATTTCGTTAGCAGAAAATAAGTCTGACGGTCTTAGTTGCTGCATTGATAGTTTACATCATGACAGAGTTTTTTGCTCGTAATGGGTTAAGTATTTATTTGAGAGGGAAGTACTATTTATTTAATTTATGCTTTTTTGTCTTCTTTGTTTTATCTGGGTTTTATAATCAGTCTAATTTTTTGATGGAGATTATTCGTTTTATAGTTCATATGTGTATGGGCATAACTGATTTTAACCACCAGTCTAACACTGTTGTTAAATATTTTCTTTCTTAACAGTGTCATCGGGGTCGTTCGGTGTGGAATGCGATAAACTTGCGATGGAGAATGTAGATAAACGGATTTGCATGAGGCAAAAATTAGTTTTTTTTTTTTTTTTCTGAGGAATTAGTGCGTTGAGAATTTTTTTGGTTGGTGTTGACAATCAGAAGACCTTGTTTCTAAGCTACAAAGTAAAGTTTCTGTTGAAAAGAGCGATTGGTTGTACTGTTCTAGATATTTGAAAACGGGTTTGAATTATGCGTAAAATAGCTTTTGTTAAGGTACTCAATTGTTCCTGCTAAGTTATCAATTTTTTCGGTCTTATTGAAAGCAGAAATGGTTTACTGTCTGCTCTGCACAGAGTTTTTTTTAAAGAAGAGCCACTTCTGTATTATTATTTTCAGCTGCTTTTGTGAGCATCAATCTCGAGGTTTTGAGCTAAATCAGGGCATTTTAATATTAATTCTGGTTATAGATGCTTCTGCTTTTTGTTCCATTTTTTTCTGTAGCTGTATTCTGACGTTGGCAAATTTTGAAAAGTTTCAAGAGGAGTATCATGCTAACAAGGAAACTTGGCAGTTTTTTTTTTTGTAAATAGTTTGAAACTTCTTCACCTTAGCTTTTAGGCAGCTCTTTATTAATAAGTGGTATTTCTGACATTAGTACTTGCTTATTGGCCGCCAAAGTTTCTTTTTTTGTTTAACAGTTCAGCTCGTACTAAAACGGAAACTTTAGGTTTCTGAGAACGAAAATCGTTCATCGGAATTCGCTTATCCTTATATGGATGCATCAACAAGTTCTGCTGCGTCAACAGTGTACATTCCTGCTGCGTCACAGGTATTTCTTTCTGCTATCTTTTTGTTTTTCAAATTTTTCAAATTTCCAAAAATTGGGTATTTTGTCGCTTTTTTTTGCAGTTGTCGGACAATACAAGCTTTCACGGATTACCTCATATTGCTGCTGCGCCGGCTACCCTCGTAGCTCCTTCAAATGCTCCAATACCCGTACAACTCGTTTGCTCTTCAATTCATTACGGTCAGGCCATGCCTGTTTCCGTTGGTTTATCTCAGGTAAGTATTATAACATTGGTTTATGAAGAATTTTTTGTACGGACTTTATTTTTTTGCTTTTAGGCGTTTTTTTTAAAACATAGTTTGTTCTGTAGGTTCATTTATATGGGAATTTCAGGCTCAATCGACAACTTTTCCACTAATGTATCCGCTGAGATTGGTACCTCCCGGTTCTGCTGGGTGTTCTGCACCGGTACTTTAATCAAAACTTTACTCACTGTAATGTTAGACCTACTTTTTAATAGAAATGACGTTTAGCAAAATGGACTGGATGAGCACAGGGGAGACTTGTCAACGGTCAACTCGTCTTACACAGAACAGTGGGCGAATCAATTGTCTTACTGGGGAAATGTTGAGTCGTGCAAAGACGAATCGTTATCTCCAAAAGGTGCAGCTATTAATTAACTAAAGAAATACAGCATTTTCTTTTAACCTTGTTACCGTATGCAGTTTAGAACTGTTTCTTGCCTTCTTTTCGCAATGAATTATTTAATTTTCTGCTGGATTTATTTAAGATGGTGCGCCAGTTACGTTTCCTTCAATACCTACTCCACAACCACTTGCCGTGGTGAAGCCAATGGTCATTCCACTAGTTGCTTCAACGCGTATTGAGCAGCCATTTTCTCCCGCAAATCCATCTGGTAACTTGCTTATCAGTCTTTGATAATTATTCTTAGTTGTAGCTTATAAATACAAAAACTAAAAAATTTTTTGACTGCAGTTTTGCCGACTTATTTGTGGACAAGCACTCCGTTTTCACGTCGTTAGTTTCTTTGTAATTATGCAGGAATGCAATTTAAGCAGACATTTTTTTATATCTAAATTACCTTCATAGATAAGGTGTGGTTGAAACGCTGATTGTCAATCTTATTAACTTAACAGTACGTCCTTACCGTACAGAAACAGTTTTTCATCTGTTTATTGTTGCTAATGTTTCCACATTGCTCTTCTTTTTTCTCTTTGATTGTTTTGTGTAGTTTTTGGTTATTAAATTATAAGTGCTGCTGGGATTGTGTTGTACGTTTAAAGTGCAATACGGAAGACTTTTTCAAAGTTACTTTTTTTTTCCAAAGACAGGAATAGATCTTTTTGGAACAGAAACGAAGAAATAGCTTGTTTTTTAATTAGAAATGCAGTGCACTTCTAATTTATTGCCAAAGTCGACTTATTCCTTATATTTATTTTGTAGTGTAAGAGCTTTTTACATTACCGTAATCAATATTCTTTTGCTTTTCCTACTGTGTGCTATTCTGTTGTCATTATACAATAGTTTGCTGATAATCAGTGGTTATAATCAGTGGTGATCATATAATTGATTGGTAAAGTGCAGGGTGGAATACTTTCAGAGCTTTCTTATGCATAAGAATTACCGTCTAACTCAAGCTCTTGAAAGTTCTCTTGTTGAAAAAACTTATTATTGGAATGGTTACAGGCTCCGATGAAATCGCGCATGGCTCAATGACCGAGTCGTCGACATCTTTAAATTCCTCATATCGTCGTGGGCCTGATTCTGAAAATAGAGGAAATGCTTCACTTTCTGAGGTAATTATTTTTTGTTATTGGTGTATAGGTGCAACGTTTTTATTGATTAATTTACACATTATTTAACGTATCTTCTTGCGGAGTGTAATTACATTAGTAGCTGTAGGATTCGTTTTACAGACTATTATTTTCCCTTTTTGGCTTCTTTCTCTACAAAGCTGTTCTTATATGGATAGGCTACTTTTTTTTATAAAATTAGGTGATACTTGAATACGAGGTCAACAGATTTTTGTTTGGAATACTTTTTCAAGCACAGTTTCGTGTACGATTACTGTTTTCAACCGTCAAGACTGCTTGACATTTTAACTGTGAAATTTCTTATACTACTTTTTATAGCAAGCAATTAACGAACAAATAGCAGAGAAACAAAGAGCGGAGGCGAGAAGGCTGGAAGAGGAGCGGAGGGAGACGCAAAAAAAGGAGGGCGAAAGGAGAAGAATGGAAGAAATAGAGCGGAGCAGAAAAGTAGAAGAGGAGCAACGAAAAAAGGAAGCAGAAGAAGTCTCTAATCTGAAATATTTTTGAAACGTTTGGTTTAAACATCTCAACTTTTGATGAAGTTTTTCCTAACCCACATAAAATACTGCTCAGGAACGGAAACGAAAGGAAGATGCAGTTTTGGCAGCTATCGAAGAAGCAAAGAGAGAAGCTGAAAAACTTAGGAAAGCCAAACTTTATAAACACGTGTTAGAAGACAGTGAAAACAGTGCTGAATTAGAACGTACAATTCTGGGCTACGATGATGCTACAAACGTGAAAATTCTGAAGGAGGTTTGATATAGTATTAATGCAATAAATTATTAAGATATACGCTTGGAAGTTACCTGTGATCACACTTCACTGTTTGCAGGTTGAAAGTCTAGAACGCCAAAAAAGGTACGAAATGAAGAATTTAGATTATAACCAGAAATCCGTTGCAAAAAAGAAAGATGAAACTTCCAAAACACTTGAAGTATGACTATGTTTTTGTATTAGCAATGGATAAAGGTTTTAAAAGTCAATTGCTAAATTTTTTTTCAGATTTATGCTCTTACTGTTATTTCTTTTATAACAAAACGTCTGCTTTTCTTGACCTCAAAAGTTCCTATTGAATAATATTTTTCTTTTAGCGAGTACGTAGGTTTACAGACGACGACAGACCAATTCGGCCTTCACCCCGTATGAATCAGACTTTTCGTAGGTTTTTTTTCAATTTATTTTTTTTTCACTTTTATATATAATGGCATCAAACTAAAAGGCGAGAACTTTAGCCTGTTATTCTAATGAAGAAGAGTCCATTGGTTTTAATCGGAGAGGTAGGCAGTCATTACGTTTACCTAGTGTGGTGAAACCAGTCCAGAAGCCTCGTAGAAATAGTTTGGAGAGGAGCCCATCAGAAAAGTAAGTTTCTAATGTAATATTCTGTTTCAAAAAAAAAA